AAAGACAGATAATAACAGAAATTGGAACCCTCATACATTGCCAGTAGGAATGTAAAATGATGCAGCTGCTTTGAAAAACAGTGGCAGTTTCTCAAAATGTTAAAAATAGAGTTGCGTATGACCCAGCAATTCCAGTCCTGCTATCTACTCAAGAGAAATGAAAATTTATGTCCCCACACAAACTTGTACATGAATCACAGCAGCCCAAATGTGGAAACAACCTATCAATTGATGCATGGATAAACAATATATTCGGCAATAAAAAGGAATAAAGTACCGACACATGCTATAACACGAATAAACTTTAAGAATATTATGCGAAGTGAAAGAAGGCCATCACAAAAGGCCATATATTGGATGATTCTACTTAAATGGAAATTTCCAGAATAGGCAGATCTATATAGAGACAGAAAATAGATTAGTGGTTGCCTAGAGCAAGGGAGAAGGCAAAGGGGGAACGACTGCCAATGGATACAAGGTTTCCTTTGGGATGATAAAATTGTTCTAAAATTGGTGATAGTTGCACAATTTTGTAAATATAATAAAACCACTGAATTGTGCACTTTACATAGGAGAATTTTATCTATGTATATCTCAATAAAGCTGTTAAAAAAAAAAACCCCAATACTTAAAAAAGAAAAAGGAATAAAGTATCGAACCAAGTAGGAAAAAAAAAAACCAAAAAAAGCCTCCCACAATAGAAAGCTTGGCTTTAGACACGTAAACTCTTAACAAATATTTAAAGAAGAAATAATACAATTCTAACACAGTCTTTTCAGGAAAATGAAAGGGAGGAAACACTGCCCAACTCATTCAATGAGGCCAATATTATCCAGGTACCAAAGTCATAAGACGACCAGTAACAAGAAAAGTACAGACCAATTTCCCTCATGAATACAGACACAAAAATCTTTAAAAAAATATGAGCAACATTTAGAAGAGTTATATACCATGAAGTGAGATTTAGCCCAGGAATACAGAGTTGGTTCAACATTAAAAAATTAATATACCTAGGGCCGCCTGGGTGGTTCAGTCAGTTAAGCATCTGCCTTTGGCTCAGGTCATGATCCCAGAGTCCTGGGATCAAGTCCCACATCGAGCTCCCTGCTCAGTGGGGAGTCTGCTTCTCCCTCTGCCCCTCCCCTTGCTTGTGCTCTCTCTCTCTCAAAAATAAATAAAATCTTTAAAAAAATAAAAATATACCATATTAACAGAACAATGGATAAAAGCCACATGACTAGCTCAATAAATGCATGAAAATATATGACAAAATCCATTCATGATAAAAACTCTCCACAAACTAGAAACAGGAGGAAATTTCCTCACTGATAAAGGGCATTTATGAAAAACCTACAGCTAACACTGTACTTAATGGTAAACAAATGTTTTCCCCTTAATATTAGGCACAAAGCAAAGAAGGATGTGTGCTCTTTTCACTTTCTATTCAACACTGTACTGGAGGTTCTATCCTATACAATAAAGGGGGGAAAAAAGGAGGAGGAGGAAAAATTAAAGGCATTCAGAGTTGAAAAGAAGAAACAAAATTGTCTTTATTTGCAGACATTATCCTGTGTGTAGAAAAACCTATGGAGTCTGTATAAAAAAAACTATTAGCACAATAAATGAGTTCATCAAAGCCATAAGATACCAGATCAATGTACAAAAATCAATGGCAAGTTCTACATACTTAGCAATGAAAAATCCAAAATGAAACCAAGAAAAAAATTCCATCAAAAATTACACCCAAAAAGAACGAAATACTTAGGAATATCAAAAAGAATGACATACTTAACAAAAGAAGTGCAAGCCTTGTACACTGGAAATTACAAAGCATTACTAAGAAAAAGTAAAGATCTAAGTAAATGGAGAAATATTCCAGGTCCCTGAACGAGAATATTAGGAGAGCCATTCTTCCCAAAATGATCTGTAGACCCACAATACATATAAAATTCCAGAATTTTTTTTTTGTAGAAAATGACCAGCTAAATCTAAATTTATGTGGCAATGCACAAGATCCCAGAGTAGCTAAAATTCTGAAAAAGTACTAAGTTGTAAAACTTGCACAACTGGATTTCAACAATTATAAAAGCTACAGCAATCAAGACACTTTGGTACTGTCCTAGGAGAGACATATAGACCAAAGAACAGAAATCAACATCCAGTGATAAATCCTTACATTTACGGTCAACTCTGTTTTCACAGTGGCACCGAGGCAATCAATGGGGTAACGGATAGACTTTTCAATAAATGGTGTGGGGACAGCTGGACAGCCATGTTCGTAAGATGATTTTATATTTTACTTCATGCCACACAAAATAATTAACTCACAATGAATTATGGACTTAAAGGAAAGCAATAAAACTAGAAAAATTTTTAAAGAAAACATGAGAAACTCTTTGTGCCCATGAATTAGGAAACAACTTTTCACCAAAAACATGATACAAAAAGTTGGTAAGGTGGACTTTATCAAAATTTAAGACGCTTACACTATGAAAGACAGTATTAAGAAGATACAAAGGCAGGGCGCCTGGGTGGCTCAGTTGGTTAAGCGACTGCCTTCGGCTCAGGTCATGATCCTGGAGTCCCCGGATCAAGTCCCGCATTGGGCTCCCTGCTCAGCGGGGAGTCTGCTTCTCCCTCTGACCCTCTCTTCCCTCTAGTGCTCTCTATCTCTCATTCTCTCTCTCTCTAAATAAAATCTTAAAAAAAAAAAAGGAAGATATAAAGGCAGAGACTAGGAGAAGACATTTGCAAACCCTATGACTGAGAGAGAACTTGTACCTAGAATATTTAAAGAAATGTTACAACTCCATATAACAAAAACAACCCAATTTAAAAATGGCCAAAGATCTGAATAGACATTTAACCAAAGAAGAAAAACATATGGCCAATAAGCACATGAAAAGATGCTCAACATCTTTTCAACATTCTAATCTGCGTTATTAGGGAAATGCAATCAAAGCCAAAATGAGGTATTATTTCACATCCTAGTACTAAAATGGCTGTAATAAAAGAACAGTAACGTGTGCTTAAAAAAAGCTCCAACATGCTATGGTTTGAACTGTATAATTAAAAATGGTTAAAAATAGTAAATTTTATATTTTATCACAATAAAAAAATTTTTTATAGTCCTAATACTTAAAAAAAAGATAGCAGTGAACAAAGTAGGAAAAAAAAATGATCTTCCCACAAAGAAAAGCCCAGCTTAGGTGGTATCACTGGTGAGTTCTATCATATACATAAAAAAGAAATAACACAATTTTGAATAATCTTTTCCAGGAAACAGAAGAAAACACTTCCAGACTTATTCAGTGAGGTCAATTTAAATGCCTTAAAGTATAAAAGACATAATGTATTGGACGGACCAGAAGTATTAAGAACTGGGTTCCAATCCAGAGTTTGTTAGCAAACAGTTGTGTAATCTTTGTGAAGTTACTTTATCTTGTTGGGCTTCAGTTCCTCCATTTGTAAAATAAGAGAGCTGACCAGAAAAATCCTTTCCATCTATATAATTCTACATTTATTACATAAAATTTTGTTTAAAATTTGCCCAGTCATATAATTGGTATAACCTTTCTGGAAAACAGTATGGCCATATGTATGTAGTAAGAGGCAATTCACACTCTCTGACAAAGTTTTTCAACTTCTAGATATTTGTCTTAAGGAAATAATTTAACCAGCCAAAGAACACATAAAAAGATGGTCACTTTAACAATCCACATGTCCAATAATAGTGGAGTAAGACAGTAACACAAAGAAATATCAAATTACTAAAAATTTGTATGAAGATTATGGAAAACATTTTTTGTTAGGTAAAAATAATCAAATATAAATGATTTACATATGAAAATGTACACGGTATATAAATTATATTTTTGCAAACAAAAAGTCATTTCTACTAATGAAAGTAGTATCAGAATTTTGAGTCTAAAAGATTTTGTTTTTAATTACAAAGTAGTTTTTGAAATGTTGATACACTATATACTCAAAGAGAAAAAATAAAAAACTTGTCCAAAGTATAGATATAAAATATCAAGATTATGTTGATAAGGTTCTAAATTCCTCTAGTTTGATTAATGCTTCCTAAGAGTGGTTATGAACCTAGGGCTCTCAGTAGAAATCTCAATGATTAAAACTTTCATCAGCTGATACCGGAATTATCAATAGTATTTTACCTGTTCTACCCAGAGTTGAGATAAAGCCTAGAGGTCTGATTTTATCAAATACTCATTCAAGTACAGCTATAAAACTGGGCAGTTCAAAATCCTTATACCTGATTATTTCATTTATCACTGCCAACCCCTTTCAAGTTCTCTATTTAAAATTTCTCAGGCAGCCTTCATTTGTAAATATATAATCCACAAAACATCTGAGTTATACAACCACTAAAGTTCCTCTCTCTCAAATAAGGAGGGAAAAGAAGCAGCAAGCGCCTAGCTTCTGGATTTTCCTTTGTATTCCATTCCTACGGCTGCCTGGTAGGACAGGGATTTCAAGAGGATCCAGTCTCAGCATTGCGAAGTTCAGTAGAGAGAATACTTGGTGAATGATTCTTGGGCACAATCCTAGTAATAGTAGGTTGAACTGTATGAAATCATTTCTGTAGGTCAAAAGAGTAGACCATTGGTAACTGCATATGGCTCAACCAATGTCAATGCCTCTATATTAAGGAAAACTTTCTGTTCCCTTTCAAACTCTGTAGAATCACTGTCAAGGATTCTCTCCTTGATCTTTTCAATGAATACACTTATGTGAGTCATTATTTCCAAAACCAGAATTAAAGCAATCTTAAATTTTAATTTTTAAGCATTTTTTACACGTTTGCATTAAAATGAAGTATTTTAACAGCAGCCAACCAAAGAATAAATATCAGAATTATTCCACTCTAACTCAATTCTTGTTAGTCATGTTTCTCTTCACAGAGCAGTAAGTTTTCACACTTTCAGAGTAATGCTTCTTCCACCTCCAACTGAAATCCATACATATTGAGAGAAACTCACCTGAAACTACCATAGACTATAAGTAGAATGGAAATCAGAAATGTAGACACTTGACTGGAATCCACCAGGGAATAGGCCCTAGAGAAATAAGAGGGGAAAAAAATTAGATCACATGCCACAAGTCCTCATGGAGTTTACAGTCTGGTGGAGTTTCATTATTGTTTTTAAGTTAAAAAAAAAAAGCGTAAATTAGCATGAACAAAACAGCATAATTAAAATGAAATCTGTTTGTTTAATATAAAGAATACATGTGTGGGTTCACAGCTATTATTAGTTAATGCACTCAGGATGTTAAATGATATCAGTGTAAAAAATCCCACCTCTGTATACCACATATGCCTACAACATCCACTCCCAATTTAAGAAGTACCAAAATATCTACCATCACTGTGCCAAAGATAAAAAGTCTCAGTGATTACACTGTTACCAGTTTACACTTGAACGGTCAATAGTATTTTACTGCTTTTCCTCAGTGATGAGGTGAAACCTGTATCTCTCTCCTGAATTCCATTTCCATTTTTATAATTGCCCACTGGTTCTCCCCATCTGGGTGTCCTACAGGAGTTTTTCCAAGACAACAAGGTCCAAAATTAAAGTCAGTATTCTTCCCTTCATATCTGATCCTCTCAAGGAATGGAATCACGATTCCCTCACTTCAAAGCTAGAAGTCGGCTGCATCCTTAACACCCCCTTCTCTTACTTCACACATGGTAACAACAGTCAGCAAGTCCTGCAACTGCCACATCCCCAACTACCCCACTTCTCTAAACTCTACTGGCAATTCTTTAGCTCCCTTCTATAGCTTGACCAACAGAAATCTTGTTAAGTCTGTCTCCAGGAGTTAACCCTTCATACCAATCATTCTTGTTAGGGATTTTCCTAAAACAAACTTCTCTTCATTTTTTCATTCAGCAAATATTTAATGATGCCTCTGTGCCAGGCACTCTGCTAGCGACTGGGGATACAATAACAAACAAGACTGTCTTGGACCCTCACTGAATGTTCTAAAGGAATAAAAAAAGTAAACTCCATTCTTTCCAAAGGAATGCAAACAAAAAGTTAACACAAGCAAGTGAATATAATCATGGAAAATGTTGCAAAGGGGAGAGAGACAAGTACAAGGTCCTCTGAGAATATATAATAGGTGGATCCTATGGAAGAACTGGGCAGAGATGGGGGGCTTTCCTTAAGGGAATAGATGAATGAGTGAGATACAAGACACAATAATGGATTTGGTGATTGTTTACGGGAGCTAAGAAAGCATTCCCAGCTTTCTGCTGAGCAGCTGGTGGATGGCTGTATCATTAAGCAAAAAAGGCAACATATGGAAGCAAATTCCTTGTATGTTGGGTTTTGGACTGTTGAGGAGATAGGTGGATATGTTTGTCTAGAGCCCAGAAGCAGCTCTAAGCCAAAGATATATACTGGGAGCTCATCACCTTCAATATGGTAATTGAAACCATAGGTGTGTGTGAGACTGCTGAGCAGTAGTGAAAAGAGGACCTGGGAGGAAAGCCTGAGAAACTCCTAACATATAAAGGCCAGGAAGAAGGAGAAGCTGCAAAACACATAGACACACCCCCCAAACTGAAAGAGAAAGAGGAATAAAACCCAGAAAACCCAGGATAGCAGGGTGTGATGGGAGTGTTTCATAGAGGCAGCAGGATCAGATGATGCCTGAATTTAAACCCTTGCTCTGCCACTTACCAGTAGTTACTCAACCTCTCAAGTTCAGCTCCTTCACCTATAAAATGTGAATAATGGCACCTACCTTAAATAGATATTAAACAATCAAATGAGGGGTGCCTGGGTGGCTCAGTTGGTTAAACGTCTGCCTTTGGCTCAGCTCATGATCCCGGGGTCCTGGGATCAAGCCTCACATTGGGCTCCCTGCTCCATGGGGAGCCTGCTTCTCCCTCTCCCTCTGCCCCTCCCCCTGCTTGTGCTCCCTCTCTGTCAAATAAATAAAATCTTTTTTTAAAAAATCAAATGAGACAATTCCTATAATGAGCTGAACACAGTGCGTACTCAATTAACAATCATTCATTGTTAGTATTAGGAGGGAGAGGTCACCTGTGCTGAAGGCTGCAGAGATAGCAAGTAAGATAAAAACCAGTGTCCATTGGATTTATTTACCATGTAAGTCACCTGTGACCGACTGTAGCAAGAACACTTTAAGGTATGGTAGTGATGGGGGTCAGGCTGGAACTGGCTGAGAATTAGAATTAGGCAAATGGATACTGACATTTTTTTCAAAGGCATGAGGAAGGGAACAGCAGAGGGAGGGGAATGTAAGGATAAGGGAGGCCTGAAAAAAATTTGTTTTGAAGATTTACTTATTTGAGAGAGAGAGAAAGACTGCATGCACGTGCAGCAGGCGGGAGGGGCAGAGGGAGAGAGAGTCGTAAGCAGACCCTGGGCTGAGCGTGGAGCCCCATTTGGGGCTCGATCCCACGACACCCTAAGACCACAACCTGAGCCCAAACCAAGAGTTTTGGCTTAACCGACTGGGTCTGAATTTTTTTTTTTTTTAAGACAGGAGATATTCAACCTTTTGTGTATGCTGAGTGGAAATTATCCCAGTGAGGAGGGAAAGACTAGTGAGTACAGAGGAGAAGTTTCCTTTATCTTTCTAAAAAATAGGACACAGTGAAATTTCAGGATAAGATACTGTGATCTGTAGTGTCATTTTTTTGATCTTCAGTTTTTAGAGGCACATACTAAAGTAACTGGGTGAAATGACAGGATTTAAGGTTTGCTTTAAAATGTCCCAGGGGGAAAAAAAAAAGGCAGGGGATAGATTTTTTAAAAGGTACAATTATTTTTAATTATTGAAGCTAGAATGATAGGTAGATGGGAATTCATTATAAAGCTGACCCTTGAACAACCTAGGGGTCAGGGATGCTGACCCACCTTCACAGTCGAAAATCCATGTACTTTTGACTCCTCAGATACTTAACCGTTGACCAAAAGCCTTACCAATAACATCAACAGTTGACTAATATATATTTTGTATGTTATATTACATATTGTACTCTTATAATAAAGCTAGAGAAAAGAAAACGTTAAGAAAATCATAAGGAAAGTACATTTATAGCCCTGTAGTGTATTTACCAAAAAAAAAAAAAAAATCCATGTGTAAGTGGACCTATGCAGTTCAAACCCATGTTATTCGAGTCAATCACACTCTTCTACTTTTGTGTATTTTGAAAACTTCCACAATAAAAAGTTAAAAAAGATGTTCTGGGTCATGAGTTCTGAACCACAGCATCCCACCGAACCACCCCTTCCTAAAATTTCACTCAGCGGAGGGAATGGAGATGCAGGAGACAGGACAGCCACCCTAGCCTCTCTGCTAGCCTGTGTTCAGCGATGCAGCTGTGGTGGGCCAACGTGTCCTCTTTTAGACAGACAATCAGACGACGTAGACAGGGCTTACCCACCACAAGACTACATTTTGTATATTAGGAAAACTTAATCAATTTCTCTTTATTTTAGAATTATGTTTCTTGCTTCAACAATCACTTTTGTAAATATCTCTTCTTAAAATTCTGAAAACAAATGACATCTGTTTAGAAGGAACATTTTCTTAAAAACAATTTTTTTGGAAAACCATATAATCATATGGTACAAAAATCAAAACTATGTGTATCAAAAGGTGCACACCAGAAAGTCTCACTCCCCTCTAGTTTCCCCCAAGTCCTCTTAGGTAACCACTTTTATTAGTTTCTTGTAGAGCCTTCTAGAATATATAATATACACATATTTCTCACCATTTCTTATACAAAAGGTAGGACTCTGTACTCCCTCTACCCTCCTTTTACAATATAGCCTAGAGATCTTCCTCTGTATCAGTATGTGCAGATTTTCTCTTTTTTATTTTCTTTAAGCTGCACAGTATTCTATTGTGTGGCTACACTGAAAAACACAGGGTTTGTTTTTGTTTTGTTTTTTTAACAAATCCCTTTTAGATGGACACAGTGGTTGTTTCCAAAAATTCTCTTAACTGCACTTCTACAAAAAAAGCCATGTAAATTATACCTGCAATGCACACATGAAATGACACGTCTGTGTAGAACAAAGGTCTTCAAAGTGAGACTGCAGATCACAGAGGAAATACACATGCAATCTGATAGATATTGCCCAACTGCCCTCCAGAGAGCTTGTATCATTTTGCATTCTCACCAGCAACTATTAGGGTTCCTCTTTCCAAAGCCTTGCCAACAGTGAGTGTCATCTAATTTTGGAATTTTTACCAATTTGAAACATGAAAATTGGTATCTCAATATGGCTTTCATTTGCATTAATTTTCTGATGTAATTAAAATTTTAAAAATTGATTAAAAGTGAGCTTAAGCAGGTTTTCACATGATTAAAGGCTAGTAGGCATTTTTAAAATAATTTAAATTTTTTCCAGATTCCAGGGTTATAAAAAACAAAGGCAGACTTTTCTTTTTTTTTAAGATTTTATTTATTTATTTGACAGAGAGAGACACAGCGAGAGGGAACACAAGCAGGGGATGTGGGAGAGGGAGAAGCAGGCTTCCCGCCGAGCAGGGAGCCCAATGAGGGGCTCGATTCCACAACCCTGGGATCATGACCTGAGCCGAAGGCAGACGCTTAACGACTAAGCCACCCAGGCGCCCCTTTTTTTTTTCTTTTTTAAAGGATCTTTTCTTTTGCTGGTGTTTCACTTGGAGTGGATGCCTTGGCTTTTTTGTACCCTTTGTATTTTGAAGCCTATTGTCATTACCTAAAAGGTAGATTAGAGTCTAAACTTCCCAAACTCAGTATCTTAAGAACTCATATTATTGTTTATTCCTTTTGCTGCATCTCTCAAATCAGTGGAGACTCTCCAGAGACTCATCACTTAAGACTTCTAGATGTCTGGGGTTGAACTGTTACTAAACCAGCTCTTTGTCTTCCACAGATCCTCTGGGCTCTGCTCTTGTCTCTGTGGCTGACCATCTTGCAGTCACTGACTTTCTTCAGTCTTTTTCAAGGCAAGGGTTTGACCATGTGCAAAATGCCTTCTAAAGAGGCTGACCAGGGCTACCAGCCAATAAGCATGCTACCCAT